GAGATTGGGAAAGCTGTCCAGTACCCTATCAGGCCCACATTTTAATTTCTGGCGTGACAATCCTTAAATGACTACATTGAGGTTTCCGGCGTTATTATTGTTTATTTATTCTTTATTTCTGTGGATGTTATAGAATAATAAACTGTATTGAAACAAAATTTAAATTAATTAATATGTTCAATATTTTAATTATTTTTATTTTCAAGAAAAAAATTGTTTTTAAAGAATTATTACTAAAAAGATTTAATGAATTCTGAACCTCGTTTATAATCACTGAAAAGTTAAAAACTACATTAAAAAATTAAAAATGTTCTGCGATTTAAAATTGTTTTTAACTAAGTTAAATATTTTTAATTGTTTAAATAAATTTTTTGCAAATAAAAGTTTATTTTTTAAAATATAATAAAACAGATAAAATAAAGTACTACACATTCCTGGAGTTTTTAAACTAATTACGCTTATTTTACACTAGATATAAATAGTAATCTACAAACAACAGAGTACACGGAAAAAAAAAGTTCGAAGATTATTCGGGAACTTCATTCTTAACTCTTGGATACGGCGGGTAGTTCACAGAGAACTAAATTTTGCCTCGTTTAAATATGTCATTTACTATTTCTATACAAATTATAACTATTTCACCACTTCTCGGCAAACTGTTCTTGAAAAAGTCGGGAACTGTTCAAGAAAATCGAAAAGTCAGGCGAATGCAAGAAAAAATGGATTCTGCTTCCCCCCTCCCACTTCCCCTCCTTGACACGTCCGCACACACACACTCACACACATTTATCCTTGAAGGTCACATACAATTTTTATTTTTTATTAAGTTTCTGAAATAGAAAAAACCATATGAGAGAAAAATCGACGGCGGCTGGAACAGAACTCGCGTACCCGAGGAATAGAAGTCCGGCGTCTTATCCATGTGAGCTAAACAGGAGCGTTAAATACCTCAGCATAAAATAAATATATAAGGCACGCAAGTCTTACTGACGTTGAGACTGGTGCGCACAGTTTCTGCGCACCAAGATTCCTTGACGAGTTCCCGAAAATTTCAGAAACAGTTGCGGCCAGTGCCATGGACTTTACATGAGAAAGAAATGAAAAAAAGACTATTGGACTATTTACAGCTTTTTCTAATACAGTTCCCGAATTTCTTTCAAACATTCATTGATTACCATTGAATGTTCGACGCTAGTTCAGAGCTGTTACCACGTATCCAAGAGTTAGGAAATAATTCCTGAAATATCTGGGAACTTTTTTTTTCCGTGTATTGTCCTATAGTTGACACTGAAAATTTGTCAAGTTTTACACTCCTCAGGGTAAATTTAAGGTATTACTACACTTTAGAAGGCTCTTAAAAGAGCTGTATATTTTCAGGTATAAATAAATAAAGAAAAAATTAAAATTAATCATATCCAAATATTAAAAAATTAATGCCGACAGATTAGCTCAGTCGAATAGATGCCTCGCTTGGCGGTCGTTTAAGGACCAAGGGTGGGTACCCTTGGTTCGCGCCCATTTGGCTTGGTATTTTTCCGGCACGTGAGACACGAGGTATAATGATGTGCACCGTCGATTATTGTCCGGTACACACCATTAGAACTCGACTGTCGATAAACCGGTTGTACTCAGGAGAGGTTTTCTACAGTTTCTCTCTCCACTGGCGAGAAAACCCATCAGACGGGTGGTCCAGGCAAGTGCGAGTAAAGGAAGTGTTCCGGTTGTGGGCACCCTTTTGTTTTTGTCTCATAACATTTGTCCATGTGCATATTATACAAATGTATGTGTACGAATTTAAAGCTAGAGGTCTAAGGTGACTGTCAGTGAAGAAATAAAATTGATTCCTTTAAATAAAAAAGTTTTATTAGAAATTTAGTGAAATGGAAATTTTTTGACAAAAAAATTTTTGTACCCGGTTGTGGGCACCCTTGAAAAATCCGCTAAAAATGGAAAAATATTAAAGGAAACCAACACAAATAAAGAAGAAATGAAAGTTTCTTTATTTTAAGAGACTTTGCCGGGATAAAGAACAAAAATGATGACACGTTTTTACACTATGCTCATCGCTAACAAAAGCATAATGCTTGCATGTGAAGTAGCTAGTACGCATAACATAACGCACTTCGAATGCACTGAACGACTATATTCATCGCATTTAATGGAGTTTGCGGCTGTCAATTTCCTTGGCAGAAAGTTTAGATAGATGAGACAGTAGTCCACATCATTGTCAGATGGTAGAGCCTCCTTAACATAAAGGTGCCCACAACCGGGAATTACAGTCATTTTTTAAAAAGATCAACACATTTTGTGATGCAGGATTTTGGTTAAACACGAAGGTAAACACAAAATATAATGACAACACTGCAAAAAAAAATTAAACCCTTTTTTTCTAAACGAATCTACACCCATATGTTGCTCTTCGAAAACAATACAAAATTACTTTTTTATTTATTTAATGCAAATTTTCTTTATTAAGCTCACAGTTATTACACAAATGCATATATTTGTTTTGTTATCAATACGAAAAGTCCGTATTGTCAAAGAACACGACTTGCAATACTTAGATCAGTAAAGTCTGCTTGCCGTCGAAGTTTACGTAGGGGTACTTCACAACCGGCGCACTTCCCCTATATATATTTAGAAATTTTTTATTATTTTTTCTATTATTATATGACTCTTTGTGACTTTAAAAAAAATTTCTGATGAACAAAAAAAAAAATTGAAACTGTAAATGCGTTTTTCTCAAAATCACATTTTTTATGATTGCGTGCAGTCTAACTTAAACAAATATTTACCGATTATAATGAGATTTGGAAGTTTTTTATTCTTTATAAAATTACGAAGAATATGAACCACCATTCAAGGTGATATCACGATTTTAAGGGTGTTTTTTTGTGTAATTAGTATAAAAAAAAATTGTGAAAATTCAAGAAAAAATTTCAAACACCTTCAAAATTTAAAATTTTTATTATTTTTACCTACATTGAGGTTCATATTCTTAGAAAATAAGTTAAGAATGTAAGAAATTTTTTTTTTTAATTTTAGTTAAAAATAAAAATTGCTACACGTCACGCAAGTCGAGAAAAAATATCAGGATAATCAGTGGTTATGACAGCATATCTGCCTTATTTCTGGTTAAAATAAATCAAAAGAATTTATAAACATTGTTCAAAACACATTTCTGATGATTTCATCATTTCACCCCCCCTAGTACGCAAACCATAACGCACTTCTAATGCACTAAACGACTATATTCATCGCATTTAATGGAGTTTGCGTCTGTCACTTTCCTTGGCAGAAAGTTTAGATAGATGAGACAGTAGTCCACATCATTGTCAGATGGTAGAGCCTCCTTAACATAAAGGTGCCCACAACCGGGAATGACAGTCATTTTTTAAAAAGACCAACACATTTTGTGATGCAGGATTTTGGTTAAACACGAAGGTAAATGACAAAATATAATGACAACACTGAAAAAAAAATTAAACCCTTCTTTTCTGAACGAATCTACACCCATATGTTGCTCTTCGAAAACAATACAAAATTACTTTTCTATAGAAAAGTAATAATTAATAATATAAATATATTTATTTAATGCAAATTTTCTTTCTCATGCTCACAGCTATTACACAAATGCATATAGAAGGAGTTTACACAGTAAGCCTTAAATATAAGCCTCCGCGCGCATAAACGGATATACCTCCAGGAGCATATATTTGCGCCTGCGCGAACACGTGGTCAAGGCAAACTCTTTCACAACACAGCTGCAGGCAAACACTTTGCGCAGACGCAAGTATATCCTCATGGAGGCATATCCGTTTATGCTCGCGGAGGCTTATATTTAAGGCTTACGGTGTAAACTCCTTCATATTTGTTATCAGTAAAGTCTGCTTGCCGTCGAAGTTTACGTACACGGAGAAAAAAATCAGGGCTTTTTAGCATGGAGTGGTCTGTACCTTTAGCGCATGGGCGCTTTCTTACGGCGAAAGAACGAATTTGTACGATTGCAGCAAGAGCTCGCCCTATTTTAGTAAGGAGCCTTGCTACAATCGTACGAGTTCGTTCTTTCGCCGCAAGGAAGCGCCCATGCGCTAAAGGTACAGACCACTCCATGCTACAAAGCCCTGATTTTTTTCTCCGTGTAGGGGTGCCCACAACCGGAGCGTGCCCACAACCGGCGCACTTACCCTACTTCTAATTTCAAGCCGTTCTGTAGACGCAAAACTTAGTATTAGGAAATGTATATAAGAAATATTTGTAAGATTAAAAATTTACGTGATGTAAACAAACACTTGTATAGCCAAGTATGAAGGAGTTTACACCGTATACATTCTATCGTTATTAAGAAAAGAAAATTTAAAATGGGTTTGGTTTAATATGAATAAAAATGATTTAAAAGAAAATTAAAGTTGATTGGAAGATAATTTACACATCGGTTTAATAAGTTGCCTACTATCAGGGGATATGCTTTAACTTAACAATATTTTACTACTGACTCAATAGTCAGTTTGCAATGTTAATTTATCGACTAAGCAATGAAAAACAAAATTATCACAAATACAATATAACGTAGGGCACTTTGTGGATTGGTTTTAAACAATTAAACTTTTAGAAAATTGCGATTACCCCATAAAATCAACAAATTGGGCACTTTTCATGCGACATACACATATATATATATTTTTTACACATTAAATTTTATTTCGTCATAAAATGCTTAAGTTCCCCATTTTTATTCTTTTAAATCTTTTAATTATCATTTAATAATTAAAATTTTATTTATTCTTGTAATTGTAGTTCAAAAATATTTTTAAATATTTGTACTCAATAATATTTAAATATAACATAAATTTCATATTAAATCAATAATAAAAATGTAGAATATATAAAAATTAAAATGATTTATATCTCTGCTTTTTACAATTTCCAAATCTGCATAATTTTTTGTTTTATGAGCATTGGGAAAATAAATGAAAAACTCACAATATTAAAAACCAGCATTGAGTTATAATGATTTATTGTAGTAAAATTAGAGTAAATAACAATCACATATCGCGTCATCTATCAAACGAGATATAACACACATGTTAAATGATGCGACATAAAATAATTTAGATGCATCGTTTCGATGATTTGATGCCACGGTGCTTAGAAATCACGTAACATTAATTAAAAATATATATGTTTATTATATATAATATGTATAAATTGTCGAGTTTACTCCTATAAATATCTTCTAAAAATCTTGTGTGGCAAATAATCACTTAAGAACAAATTCACAATTTAGTCGTTTCTTTCTTTTTTTCTATCATTTTTTTAGGCACCAATGGTATGCGGACCCTGTCTTTGGTACATATGACCGATTCATTTTTCAACAATGTTTTTTTATTTTTAACGAAGACGCTTAATTGGTCCTCCATAAGTTTTTTCAAATTACATTTCTCTCTCGCTCTCTTTCTGAAAATTCACACATCACTTTCTTTCCTATTTTTTATTTTTGTTCTTTAATCAATATATATATATATATATATATATATATATATATATATATATATATAAAAGATTGGGATAGTCGTTTGTCAGTGACACAATTTTTTTTCTTTAGTGCACAATTCCCAACGAATTCTCAGTCTTCTTCCTTTTTCTCCGGCTTCAAGTCCACCATTGCATGCAATTCTTCGGGACTGTATCTGTAAAGAAAAGTGAAAAATTAATAAAATTGATATTAGAATATATATTAAAATTATTTACTATTAATAATTTAATCAATTTAATATGAAAATCATTTAATGAACTAAGTTTTAAAAGTAAAATGTTTTAACTTTTAGAAATTAATGAATAAATGAAAAGTAAAATTTACCCTAAGAGACTCTGGAGATCGCAAACAAAGCGATAAACGTATCGTTTACCGGCAGTTTTATGAATAATATTCTTGTCGTAGTAATATCGCAAACCGCGACTAAGCTTCTCGTAATTCATTTTCGGCTTATTTTTTCTTATTCCCCATCGCCGTGCAACTTCATCTGGATCTGTGAGTTTAAATTCCCAACCGTCACCGGTCCACGAAATGAACCCTTGACACGATTTGTCCGTTAAAAGTTCTAATAGGAATTGCCACAATTGAATTGGACCAGAGCCCGTGAAGCAAGGACCACTTCCTGTATAAATTCGAAAGAAGCAAAATTAATCATTGTACAAAAAGCGATTTTTAAAATTATAACTCATTATAATTAAAATTTATTATCTTAATATTTCATATATTAAATAATTTTAAATATGCCATTTATTCTTTCAAATAAATATAGGAATAATAGTTGATAATTTCGATTTGTTTTTAATTAAAACAAATTGTTAATGATCTGCTTTAATTTTAAGTAATAATGATTAATTGAAAAGTTGAGAAAATGTTGATAATTTTGATTAATTTACAGGATGTAAATGAAGAGAGAAGAGGACGTACCAGTGTAGCCAGCCAACATGGCGCTTTGAAGAAGGGGTTTCTGGTCGGGATTGTTGCCAATGGCTGAGGGATGATGGGGATTTGATGAATCCCTGGGTCCTAGACCAGCTAAGAAAGCAGGATGATGCGATAAGTGTTCACCGAGTGGACCCATCGATCCCCATTGATCGCCACCGCCACCCCCGCCAGTCCCACTTCCGCTGCCTGGGACCGTTTGGAATGACGATGCGTCGTACTGGCCGTACCCTCCTTCGCTGTACCCCTCATGATAACGACCTGCGAATCATTTTTATTATTACTTATTTTTAATATTATTACAATTCTAAATATTCTAACATAAATACTTCCGTAAATATATATGCATTTTTTGTTATCCAAAAATATAGTATCTACTTAAATAATAATTCATGTCTTATCTTTTGACAAATTAATTTTTTCCAACAATACCCGGAAAAATAGTTCTTTTAAAGTCAAAGCGACCTTTTACAAAAAAAATTTTTTTAAATTTATTATAAAATCATTGTCAAATATGCAAAGAATTTAGAAAAACAAGGTAAAAGTGATGAAATATTAGCATAATAAAATTGAGCCGCAGCTACGCTCGGGCTGTCTTTCCAAATCGGAATACCTACTTCGAATTGCGCGGTGGGGACTAGGTCTGTCCAATAAGGCAACTCGAAGTAGATATTGCGGTTGAGAGGAACAGCCCGAGCGTACGGTACGGTAAAATTTTGGGCGCGTGACAGTCCTAAATGTTGGTGAGCAGCTCACCGAAGTAGTGGGAATGCCGCCTTTGGTTTGCAGCTGAACAACTTTGGGACTGTCACGCGCCCAAGATTTTACCGCAGCAACCCAAAAGTATAGTCCTGTAGCGTTCCTCCAAAATGGTCAGTAGCAGCCTATCGAAAGTCTGCTGCTGACCCAAAGGTTTCTCAGTGTAGCTTATAGGCGATTTTTGAATATACAAGGTGATTTACAAAAAATTAATTAAATTAGAAGTATTTTAATTATTTTATGTGTATAATTTTTCTCTGTGAAGTATGTCATTATTGAGAATTACAAAAGTACAATTTTCTTGAAAATATATTAAATATTATTTTTTTTTATAATCAAGTAGTATAATCATCAGCTTTTTGTTAGTATTTTTTACGGTTAGGAATTTATCAAATTTTTCTTTTTTAACTTTAATTTTCAATGACATTCTTTTCTTATTTATAAGAAATACTCTCTCCAAATTTGAATTAATGACTTTTTTTTGCTTTTGAATTATAGTAAACTAAAGTTACTAATTAAAAATTAAGTTAATAATAATAATAAAAATAATAATAATAATTATTAAGTTCCCGTGTGGAAAAAGCCCCCATCAAGCCCACACGACGTAAGGGCCCCCGGCGGGGGCCGACGAGGGCTGATCCATGTGGGCAAATCCATGAGGGCCACGCCGAAGGCCCGCATGGATTGCCCACATCATTGACTTGCAAAAATTTCTAAGTCCAAACCTCAAATCATTTTTTATTACTTCAAAATTAATGTTTAGAATGATTATAAACAATGAAAAACACATATTTCACATAAAATTATTTACATTTTTTTGAAAATATTGAACTCACATGGGGGCAAATCCTTGAGGGCCCACACGAGGGGCCCGCATGGATCGCCCACATCATTCACTAGCAAAAATTTCTAAGTCCAAACAAAAAATATTTTTTTACAACAAAAAATTAATGTTTACAATCATTTTAAACAATAAAAAACGCGTTTTTAACAGAAATGTTTTGACATTTTTTTAAAAATATTGAACTTACATGAGGGCAAATCCTTGAGGGCCCACGCGAGGGGCCCGCATGGATCGCCCACATCATTGACTTGCAAAAATTTCTAAGTCCAAAAAAACAATTTTTTTTACAACAAAAAATTAATGTTTATAATGATTTTAAACAATGAAAAACACGTTTTTAACAAATATTTAATGGTACTTTTAAAAAAATATAAAACTCACATGAGGGCAAATCCTTGAGGGCCCACGCGTGGGGCCCGCATGGATCGCCCACAGCATTGACTTGCAAAAATTTCTAAGTCCAAACAAAAAATATTTTTTTACATAACAAAAATCAATGTTTATAATGATTTTAAACAATGAAAAACACGTTTTTTTGTTATGGTGTATTAGTGTCAACAATGTTTTATTGAATCATCAAAAGCAAGTCAGCTAGTGACCTACTATAAAGAAATAAATTTCAAGTAGGTCCCTTAGCACAGTGGTAAAGTGTTTGTCTGATAGTCCGTAGGTCGTAGGTTCTATTCCCGAGTGCGTCAGAATTTTTTTTTTTTTGGTCACGATTTAATTAAAAAAAGTAAAAATCGTTTAGTAACAATGTTATTTATTAATAATTGAACTTGTTTATTATTAATAAATAATTAATTTATTAACTTAATTTTGAAAAATAAAGTCGAGGGTAAGTCGAGGGCAGAGATGAGGGCAAACGCGAGGGCCACGCCGGGGGCCGACCCACGTGGGCCCCTCATGGATGTGGGCGATCCATGCGGGCCCCCGGCGTGGGCCGACACCACTTTTCCACACGGGTTACTAATTAATTTTACTAATTCATTATTAAAAATGAATTAGTAAAAATTACTATTTATTTATTCATTATATATTACTGTTTAAAATGTACGAATTCAAAAGCAAAAAGTCAATTACTATTACAGATTACTATGTGTTTCAAAAATGTTTGACCCTAGAGAAAAATTGATATTACTCAGTAGAAAAAAATCTATATAAAACAAGACAAAATGCACGAAATAGATTATTTTATTCTTCATATAATTTCCATTCATAACATATGACTAAAAATTTTTTTTACAAAGATATGAATAAAAAAAGCGTGAAAAACAGGAACTTTTGAGTGATTTTTACTAAAGGACACTTTGACTCTATAAATTTCATAGAAAAAATGGTAGGAGAAATCTGAAAAAATTCATCAACATTCCTTAATATCTACTTTCAACATATTTACAAATTGTTTTTTAAAAAATTTTAAAAAATTGTCTACATATTTATTATTAAGGAGAAGTGCAATTTTGGCTTGTAATTGTGCTAGAAACTTCAAACAAAATTAAAAATTTTTTTAATAAATTTTTTATTCTAAATTTAATAAAAGAATAAAGTGTAAATACAAGTACAAGTGTAAATTTCTTTTATATTAACAATTCTTTTTTCAGAATTTTTTTTTCCTTTGCATACAAAGAGGGCATACATAAGTTTCAATAACACCCTTGAACTTCTGGAAGGATTGCTATCCAGTGTAGCCTTTTTTTGCATGGCACCTGAAAATAGGAAAAATGACATAGCCATAAACGAGACAGTACTACCTAAGTTTTCGGAGGGTATCAATTACTTTTCCCTATTGAGTGACTTTTAAAAAAAAATTTTAAAAAAGAATTGTTAATATAAAAGAAATTTACGCTTGTACAATAATTTTTTTATTAAATTTAGAATAAAAAATTTATTTAAAAGATTTTAAATTTTGTTTGAAGTTTCTATCACAATTACAAGCCAAAATTGCACTTCTCGTTAAAAATAAATATGTAAACAATTGTTTAAAATTTTTTAAAAAACAATTTGTAAATATGTTGAAAGTAGATATTAAGGAATGTTGATGAATTTTTTCAGATTTCTCCTACCATTTTTTTATGAAATTTATAGAGTCAAAGTGTCCTTTAGTAAAAATCACTCAAAAGTTCCTGTTTTTCACGCTTTTTTTATTCATATCTTTGTAAAAAAAATTTTTAGTCATATGTTATGAATGGAAATTATATATTATTATTATTATTATTATTATTATTATTATTATTATTATTATTATTATTATTATTATTATTATTATTATTATTATTATTATTATTATTATTATTTTGTCTTGTTTTATAGAGATTTTTTTCTACTGTGTAATATCAATTTTTCTCCAGGGTCAAACATTTTTGAAACACATAGTAGTAAACATTTTTAATAATTCAAATTTAGAGAGGGGTCGTCCATATACCACGTGGACACTTTTTAAACACTTTTTGACCCCCCCTCCCCCCTCGTGGACAATCGTGGATTTTTGACGAACCCCTCCCCCCCTGATTGTCCACGTGGACAATCGGGTTTTTTATTTTAAAAAAGTGAATAATAAAAAGATATTTAATAAGAAATACAATTAAAAAATTCTTTAATTTTTTTTATAACAAACTTCTTTAAAATTCAATAAAGATTAAATTATCTTAAAATATTATTAAATAGGTAATTTTTAGTATTATAGAGAGGACTTTGGCAGCAATATATCTTCAATTATTATATTAGTAGAAATACTTAATCTCTTCGGTAACAAATCTTAAATTTTCTAAAATCCAATAGCTTTAAGCCTTCACATAAACAATAATAGAAATTATTTTTTTAGAATTTGTAAGAATTTGTAGAGGTTGCTTTGTATTCCTAATTGTCAAATTTGCATATATTCATATTTGTGCATTTACGATAATGATTTTGTAATATAAATTAAAAAAGAGTTTGGCGTTTTTTTGACAGTTAAATAAATTTCGGATAGCAAATATTGTCTGATAACAATCTAATAATAAAGTTGAATAAAAAGAAAAAAAAGATATAAAATTAATCTTTTGTGTCCACGTGGACATTTGTATTGACCCCCCCTCTCCCCCCTCGTGGAAAATCGTGGATTTTTGTCGAACCCCCCCTCCCCCCTAAACTGTCTACGTGGTATATGGACGACCCCAGAGCTGTATGATTATTTTTAATTTCAATAAGTTAAGTAATTTTTCTGCACGTACAATGAAAATTAAAAAATTTAAATTCAGATTAAAAATTAAGTTTACATTCTCTAAAATTTTAATGTTACTCATTATATTTCCATAAACATATGATTAATTTAATGCTTTTTTACTTCCTTATGTGTGTGTGTGTGTGTGTGTGTGTGTATGTGTGTGTAAACATCACATTTTCATAAATATCTCGAAATCATGAAGAGCTTTTGGGTTGAATTTTTTTTAAATTGTAGATCTCACCTGCGGACATAAAGGGAGAGTACTTTCTGATATATTAATAAAGTTTAACTAAATTTTTTTTTGATTTTTAATTTTGCAAAAAAACGTTTTTTGCCCATAACTTTAAATAGTATAGGGGAGAGTGGGGCAAGACGGGGTACCGGCTTTATTTAACAAACGAATTAACCAATCGCGATTATATTTTACATAATACTGCATCGAGACGATAGTTTCTTGTTTACAAAACCTAAAAGCCATGAGAACAAATCTTTTATCTGTCAAGGGTTACAGAAGAAGAGAAGCATATGTTTTTTTTCTTTGTTGAATCGTAAATTGTAGTAATTAATCGTTTTATTAAATTTCGTAGGTGCGGGCAAGATAGGGTAGGGGAGAGTGGGGCAAGACGGGGTTCACAAATTAAGCAAAAAAAAAGAGAAATAAGGGAAGTTAAGAAAACTACTAAAATCAAGACTGAATAAAATAAGAGTGACCAAAAAGAAAAAAGCTTGTCAGGTTAAATCATCAATTAGCGATGGTAAAGTGGAAAATACACCTTGTCTCTATTGTAATGGTTATTATTTAGACTGAAATGAAGACTGGGCTGCTTTTTTTGTCTGCGGTCAATGGGCTCACTGCAGTTATGCATGAAGATGAAGATGCAACTTTTACTTGTAGAATTTGTCGACAGAAATAGGTTGTTTTTTGTTAGTACCCCATCTTGCCCCTACGGGTACCCCATCTTACCCGCCGGTGGGGCAAGATGGGGAGATTTGCAATTTTTTCAATATTATTAATTATAAGCTTTTTTAAGAAACAGATGGCCTTTGTACGGCTTTTTTACGAAAGACTGATTCCCAAAGATGATAATAAAAAATAATAATAAAGTATATATTCGATAATTTTTGTTTTTTGCGCTTTAAACCTTAAGTACCCCGTCTTGCCCTACTCTCCCCTATTAAGCAACAAGGGTATAAAGGCAGCCATTTGTTTAAGGTGATTTTTGTGACACGAGTGTAGGTCGAGGGCGCCGTAGCACAGTGGGACCAAACTGCAATTTACTGTTCATAATAGTCTACACGGAGAGAAAAATCAAGCGTTTGTAGTATGGAGACTTCCTATGCTAATTTTGTATGAACGTCCTGCTAAAGAGGCATGTTTTTATACCTCAGTTGCATGAAACATATACTAAAAAAGCATGGATCTCTTGCAATCGTAGTATACTGACGTCCCATGCGTTACAGGTAGAACTTTTATGCTGATAACGTAGAAATTTATACAAATACAGCAGAAGTTTTACGCATATTGCGCATGTGCATTCTTTTACGAAATAAGCTTAACTGTCCATACTACAAACGCTTGATTTTTCTCTCCGTGTAGAGCCTTCATTTTTTAACCGATTTTACTAAACTTTGTTTTAAATGAAAGATTATTAAATTTGAAAGAGATTTGTCGAGGCCGAATTTTAAATTTCAATTTGTTTATATTTATTTTTTTATTGCAAAGTTTAACAAAAGCATCTATTTTTAAAAAAAAGTTATCTCCAGCCTCTATAATCGAATAACACGTGCTAAAAACTTTTTAGAAACACACCTTAAGTACTCTGTAAATTGTAAAAAATTTGTGCAGGTAAATATTCGAATGTTATAAACAATTTATATTAACAAATAATTAAGTTTACAACAATATGTTAATGTGGACAAACGCTTTGATAGATTTTGATGAAATTGTATACTTAAGGGTTTTTGGGGTCGCTGATTACGAATCCAATGTTGGTTTTTCAAAATTCAAAATGGCGGATCCAATATGGCGGATGCTTTTTTTAAAAATCGATTCACTTGCCTATCATCTGCGAATCTATTTAATGACGCAGATATCTCTCGCCTATCATTGATTTTTCAATGATAGAATTTTTTTGCAGAATGCTATTTCCTAATAGCTGCTGCATTTTTAAATACTTATAATTTATAAATAATAAATTATTTATTATTTACATGAATTATTAAAAATAAATAATTAAACAAATAAATATATTAAACAAAAATTATAAACATTAATTTTTTATTATTATTATTTAATTAAAAAATTTATTTAAAAAAATTTTTTCTCTTGGTTGCCAATATTCGGCTAATATTGGACCAATATTAACAACCGATGCTCGGCGAACCCGTTACATCCCAAACATCAGCCCATATTGGTCCAATATTGGGAGTCAATCGGCGCCCAGCACGGCAACCAATATTGGACCGATTAAAGTCTATTGGCAATTTCTCACTGGGACTTTGCAAATTTACACACCTCTTGAGTAGTTTTTGAAGGGAGGTGGCTGGTACTTTGGTTCCAGCTGAATACCACTGGCACTATAGAATTCGGGAGATCCATCGAGATTATAGGGATGAGGTGGCTGATGATCCTGCGGCAAGTTGTGATACTCGGAAGTCTCATCATAGCCAGAATAATGGGCAGGAGTCATGTAACTCTCCGATGTCGAGTTGCTGACCCGCAGATCGACTTCGTTGCCACTCGCTCCAAGGTCGCCGCCGCTGGGTAGTCCGCCTCCTCCACTTTGTATATGTTCCGTTATATGATGATTGCTGTAGTTTGCTACAAAAACACAATAATCGTTACACAAATCAAAAAATCATTTCAACTTCCTTTTAATATTTCAATGAAATATTTAGGAATATTAATTAATTTTTGACTGAGTATAACTCTTGATTTAGAGCTATACTTACATTCCGTTTTGAGCTGATTTAAATTTCGTAGATGGATGTAGGCGCTATTAGTGTTTGGATTATTGTTATTATTGTTGTTGTTCAAGTTGCTGCTAGGAGTGGTTGAATGAGAATTGTTTGGCGGTTGATTGCTGTGATTATGAGGTGGTGGTGGTGAGTTTTCTCTTTGATTGTCATCCTGACACACTGGACTGCGTAGGTGATTGTAACCTCCTGCAAAGCAAACGAAAAATTAATTTATCATTTGAGAATTCATTTTCCAAAAATTAAAATATTAATTGTGAATAAAGTATTCAGTTCCCTCTTGGAAAATAAATATAAGAAAGTATATTAACAGTGTTACAAACAAGAAGAATATAAAAAACTTTCAGCTGTCTTCTTCTTAAAAAAAGAAAGGGGAACAATCTGATATTCTTAAGAGGGGTCTCGTTTGAGACACACCTCTCTTATATTTTTGACAATCATCTTATTCGCTATTGGCTATTCTAATACTGTAACTAGATATCTTATAGACCCTAAATACTTGAAAGCTGCACATATATATTTCTACAACTTTAATAGGCATATAAAAACAATTTTTTTATCCCACATGCACAAAAATGGCGCTTTTAGATAGCTGACGACAGGGAGTAAAGTCATTCATTTGTTCAACCGTATGAAAATGGCGACCTTTTTTTCCCCAAGGGCAAAAAAACAGCTGGTCCCATGCTTTTTTTTTGCCCAAGGTAAAAAAAAGGCCGCCATTTTCATACAAGTCGAACAAGTGAATGACTTTTACTCCCTGTCGTCTGCTATCTGAAATCGACACTTTTGTGCATTAGGAATAAAAAATATCGTAAGTAACACGGGAATAAAGGCAGCCATTTGTTTACGATGATTTTTGCGACACTTGTTTCGGTCTCGGGGCGCCTACGGCGCCCTCGACCTCCACTCGTGTCACAAAAATCACCGTAAACAAATGGCTGCCTTTATGCCCTTGTTGCTTAATGTTATTTCAAGTGAAATTATTTTCGTATACCTATAACAATTTTGCTTCATCAGTTTTATTATTGTTCAGTTATTAATACCTATTTATTTGTTTAATAAATTTAAATAATTTATTGTACATTATTTATTATATAATACCAAAACTGTAATTTTAATAAATACTAAAAAAATTATTCTTCTTTTACTGATAGCTGGAGAAGAATAAAATTATGGTATTTTACTACAAGTAAAAATCCTATGTCATCCCATGTGACGGTCGTTTTTTGGAATTTATCTTTTAAGAACCAGGAGAATTTAGAACTGTAAAATTTTTACTATATATTCAATGACATTTTAACAACAAATTCAATTCCAAATTATAACACTGGAAAATGATGGACTGATCTAAACTCGAAAAATAAAATTGTATTTGAATCTTTAGGGTTTGGAAATATTAATATTAAGTCATATTAAGTCATGGGTAATTGTTGACAGAGTTAATGCGTCAAAAAGACATACTACGTCGTAAGAGGGGAGAGGAGATAAGTTAGTTGACTTATAATCATACTTATACGTTTGACTGATATATTATCATGAAGACAAGAAAATCGAGGTATAGAGGAGATGGAAACGCGGGAGTAGAATGAACAAGATCTGGTAAGCTGGACGGGAGGAATGGATGGAACGTGGGCGTTGCAGTCAAACGATTGGTGGAAGTGAACTCCGCCTATGTTCGTCGCATTACTGACAACTCGGGAAAGAAATTCGCGGGATAAAATGAAAATTTTATTTATTTCAGGGCCATCTTCAGTCTACTTACTTCAAATCTTACCAATCTCTATTCATTTTTTTCTCCTTCCCTCTCACTTCAATCTCAAGAAACAGTTAATTTAATTATTAAAAAAACAATAAGTTACTATTTTTGCCAATTTCTGGAATTTGTTTGCGAAGCGTAAAAAGGAATCAACACTTTCAGAAGGATAATAATTTTAACATTTGTGATCATAGGAATTTATGCAAAAAAAGAATAAAATCTCCTTAAAGCCATGTTATTTAGTGGTCACGCGTGTTTCCATAGTGAGACACGTTACCACTAAATAACATGGTCTTAAATGATAAATATAAAAAAAAACATTTTAAAAATTATTTTCCGAAAAAAAAGGGAAAAATTAATACTACATAACACATAAACGAGATTTTTTCGTGAAACATTAGGTTTAAAATATTCAAGCAATAAGTATAATGAAGTTGACCCCTTGTATTAGTAATATGCATTTTTTTCAAAAGAAATTCTAATTAATTATCTCTTTACCTGATTATCTTCTTGAATAATTATTAGAAAAAGATAACAGTAATTTGCATTTATGTAATTCAGAATCTGATAAAAAATAAAATAGAATTAACATTTTTAATTTCCGTCAAAGAACAAAGGAATTTCGGTTCTTATTTTATCATAATGAGAAATATAGTTTTCAGTTCAACAGTTTTTATAAATTTCAGGATATTTAAAATTAACTTAAAGAACAAGTACATAATAAATTAATATTTTTTAAAAATAGAATTGAACATTGGTTGGAAGCAGATAAAATATTGTAACAAGAAGGAAAATTTATGACATTAAATGGTTTTGCCATTTTTTGAGTGGCACCTGAAAATGCACCTGAAGGGTGCACTTGAACTCATCAGCAACAGTGTATGTGTATAGGAAAGGTGAACGCATGCAAGCATGGCGTGAGGGCCAGCTTCGAGCAAAACTCCCACGCTTTGCTGCTATATATATATACATATTAAATCAGGCGCGTACACCTACGAAAGCGAACACATACACAATTATATATATGGCATATATATAAATGCGTAAAATAGGGTGCGAGCCTAGTGCGAGCAAGACTGCAGGTGAAGCCATGTACAACTTAATGCGATAGGGAAAGTAACTTCTTGGCAATAATAATACGTCCCTTTGTCCTACAATGTTACCTTCTTTCTACGCCTATACAGTCAAGAAGGAACAATAAGGAGAATCGGCCCTATTTTTCAACGTTGATAGAAAATCTACAAAACACCATTTTTACGAGGTCCACCTAATGAAAACATACTTATTTTTAACTCAAAATATAGTGCAGCGAATAACTTTGAATACACGTAGAAAAAAATTATTTTTAAATATCAAACACTTATTTTTAGGTTATTTTAAATAAAGTTTGATCAATGTTTGGTTAACTATATGTATATATATATATATATAACAGTGCATTTATTTGATCAATTCAACTAAAATTTGATTGTTTCAAAAGATTCTTTTATGAGTGTAAATAATTTTATGTGTTTTGCAATAAAAACTTTCTGTGCCGAAATTTACCCATTTCATATCTTTGCCTCTACATCGGCTTTTCCTAATTTGTCATGAGTTGTTTTAATTTTTAAAATTCTCGAATTTAATTTTTGATTATACAATTTAAAAAAAAATTGTCATTAGTGTTTTAAAAAACCGAGTGTAGCAAATAATTGTTTGTATTATGTGACGCGTCCACACGAAAAAAAAGTTGACGAATCTCTCGTGAACTAGTATATCACTTTTGGATGGGACACAAAATTTCAAAATTTTCATTCACTTTTGATTAGAAATGGCGAACGTCAACGAAAAACTGAAACAAAGTTAATGAATTTTTGATGAACTGTGTTAAGGATGAGTAGTTCGTCAAAAGTAGAGGTACAAGTTCACGAAAAAATCGTGAACTCGCGAGTTTCAGTAGTATGCGCAGTTCGTAATGCGCATCAAATATGGCTGATCAAGCCTTCATCATTCAGTCGGTGTCATCGGTGTTTACATTGGGGCAAATTCTTTGATGAAAGTTATTATTTAGAAACAGTGTTTTTTATTATTTAGTGAATATTTTTGTGTGGTAATTTCTTTTTTGAAACAAATAATTCATAAATTAACTTAAAGGTTACGACAAGGGTCTTTTTCTACTTTGCACGGTCCTGAGTTTTACAGCAGACAAAGCTAATCGTGTCATTTGCAAATGTACTGTGTATATAGGTTTAGCCGTGGCGGTTTGTTGTTAGAAATATTATGTTATAGGGTATAGGGTACTACGTTCGAATCCCGTGAAGCGAATAACGAATTTTAATGGCAATAAAATTGTGTATTCTGTGTAGTTGGGTGCGTATAGGCGTCAAGTTATCAAATTAAGTGAAATACTATAAAAAAGTAGTGTCTGGAAATTATTTTTTCTTGTTTTTAGCATTTTTTAAAAGTTCACGAATTTTTCGTTAACTTTGACGAAAATTTCGGAAACCGTACTATGTTTCTAGTGAAGGAGTTGATGAAATTCTGACGAACTGTGTTTGTTGATTTTCAATAATTTTGTGTCCCATCCAAAAGTGATATACTAGTTCACGAGAGATTCGTGAACTTTTTTTTCCGTACAGAACAAAGGGACTTAAAAAGCTAAAAATTTCAGGTTATGTTTTAAGTTTTTGAAATGAAAATATACAAAATAATAATATACTTAAGTTTTCATTACATTCAAAGTATTTTATAAAAAATTTTTTTACTGTTACAAAATTAAGAAGAAAAATATAATCAATGTAAAACTGATACAAACAAACCTTATAAAATGATTTGCTTCTTAAGAGCCATCCATAAACCAATTTAGAAGGGATGGGGGTCCAAAAAGCTATAAAAATGCATTTAACGCAATGGTAACGAGGGGGCCTAAAAAACTTTTAAAAAGTTTTATTCTATTTGTAAGAGATTTTAAATGAAGCATCGAATTTCCGCGTATTTGCGTTTGGTTTGAGGGTACCTGTTAATTCACTCGCAAAAGCAACAAGTTTCGTCATTTGTAAACATCCATAATTGCGCTTTTAATTGCACGAGTTTAAAATGGTCAAAGACTTGCATATTGTTTGAAACAAAAAGAGGAACGAGTCTGATAGAACAGCTGTCCACATAGCGAGTACAATTTGACTGGTCTTTCGTCGAATTTGGCGCGTGCCCCTTGTCTGGCCTGGCCACCTCAGTTGCTGCTCTCTTGCATTCTGCGCGCTCGATGCGCTTCTTTCCGTGTGTGTCGGCCTTTACCCAACGTCTTGTGAACACCTGTTCTCCGGCTGATATGCGGCTGTTTCTTTTTGCTTACTTTCTTCCTTTTTCACCATTCACCCTCCCCGCCCCCACCCCGTACTTATTTCTCGCCTCTCTCTCTCTCTCTCTCAGCTCGTACTACAATTCCCGATCTCGA